AACATGAATTATATTTAACTAGAAATTCTTGGCGATGCTAATTACTGAATAAACTCCATGAGAATTTCACGACTACGGGGGAAAATTCTGTTGCCTCGTTAAATATTTTAGCTTAACAACATAAAAACAAAACAAAAAAAAAAAATAATAAGAATGACAATAATAATAATTGAAAACCTTGTAAATTAAAAAAAACATTAATTTGTACCCTCTTACTTCTTTATGTAATGACCTGTATTCATATAATAAATATGAATGCAGGTCATTACTTAAAGAAATAAGAAGGTGCAAATGAAAAGTTTTTAAATTAAATTCATTTTCACTGAAGCATACGTTAAACAGATTAATACTATCGCCTCCTCTATCTTCTCTTTCTTTTTTCTTTCTTTCGTTGTATCTTTCTTTCTTCTTTTCACTGAAATCAAACAACGTCTCTTATATGTACTTTCTGTGTTTCCTTATCAAAACTGCGTAGTCAATTATTTATGAGTTATCGACAGGTACTAACTAAGGAAGTATGGAAAAAAACATAATTACAATATTTTATTTTTTTGTCTTCTTTACAGTAATAATTATTTATATTTGACACGTCTTTCCCACTGGGCATTTATGTTTTATATTTTATATTTTTATTTGTATCGTAAATACGATATATGGCACAAACCATCAATGGGGAATGGATGTCCATACTTCAAATTTATACCTAGCTAGTCGAAATCCCTAACCCAAACGTACAAATATTTTTCCTATCACCAAAATTCCTGGATATGATGATAAACTACATCCAGCAGCAAGGCGTCTGATCGAGGAATTGTAAGTTTTGAAGAGCGTGTAATCATCTATTTATTTTGTTGTTTCTAGGGCCACCGTGACCAGAGTGCTAGAACCTGTTGGGGTCCCAGCTATGGGAAAATAGTGAGCCACGCCCCCCCTCCCCCAAGAAAAAAGAAAAAAAAAAAACAAACAAAAAAACCTATGAATGTATAAAAGTACATTTTGATAGTAAAATTACTGGCAATACATTTTGATATATATAAAAAAATACCAACAATACCTATTTATAGTAAAATTACCAACACTACCTATTTATAGTAAAATTTCCTACAAATCAATTTTATAGTAGAATTATTACAATAGATTTCATCAACCCCTTGCGTCCTAGTGGCTTCTCGCCTTGTTTGGGGTGAAACGCTTAAAAAAAAAATCTGTATTTGAAGGCATACAATTACGTTAAAAACATATTTAGTTGAAGCCATAAAAATGGGTTCAAAATATTTATATTTGGGCATTAAATAACCCATAGAGGTGTTGATTTGTCGCTAAACAAAATTAACCAAATTAACCAATCCTAGCATCAAAACAGGATATTTACACTTCCCGGTCGTACTATAGACATCATAATACCATAATTTAATGTCACGTTATTCTCTTTTGTGAAGTGATTATTAACTACATGTTATAAATTTATCTACTTGTCTGAGGAGATTCGGAATTCTATCGAATACGTCTTTTTTATTAAATTATATCTAATATCTTTTTTCTACGGGGATTATTAGTTAAATTTGGTACGTTTTTATTTATGAGGAGGCTATGTAATATATTTAATAATTTATTTTCTTCTAGATATTTGCTGGTGGCCTAATGGTTACAACGTTAGTGATCAAGAGACCCGGGTTCGACATTCACCATGGTTTATGCGTAAAGACTTGATGGTAGCAGCGTGCATCAAAGTTGGGGGATGAAATCAATGCCTGAAATCAACACCACAGGATGGCACAACAAGTCTCGTAAGTAGAAATAGGTAGAAGATGGTTGTGTTAGTGCGTAGTCACAAGTTTCGACGACTGGACTTTATTACCTTGGTTGACAATCTGTTTAGAGATGCTGTTTCGATTAACTAATTTAACTTCGCTACTTAACATGGTTATGGCATCTCTACTAGAATCCATAATAAAACGAGAGTCACGTGAGTTTGCAATCTATCGCAGGTGGAAATAGCGCAAAGTTATTCAACGAAAAGATTATTAAGTATATAACATATATTTATCTACTTCTTGTTTGGCACTTTGAACTTTGGTGTCATGAAGCTTGCTTGCTGACTTCATTTACAGCTGAGCAGTGAGTTCGGTCTCAGGAAGGACTGCCAAAATGTTCCCCCCTCTCCAAAGACAAAGCATACAAATGTATGATGGGATTTTTTCCTAGCCAATAAAATCGTCCATTTCTCAGTCTCATTGGACTTAAGTCTGTCCGTTTTTGTCTTGAAGTCAAAACGCTGTTATCGCTTGTCTGTATCCCTTTTTTGTGTTAACACCATTCTATAGTTTGGTGCTCCCGCTGTACGTCTCAAGATCCTTGAGAGGGATATGCAATGTGATAGGTCCTGATCTGGCATCTCGTCTACAGTCACTATCTCACAGACGTGACGTGGCTTCCTTCTGTCTCTTCTACAAGTATTTTCATGGCAACAGCTCCCACGAGCTACTTTCGCTGGTGCCACAACTGCACGGATTTAAGCGAGCTACTAGATTGGCACCTTGGTCCCACCCTTTCACTGTCGAGACGCCGTCTTTTCTACCCCAACAGCTTCTCGTCTGTGGAATTCTCTTCCTTTTTCTTGATAACAATAATCTTCAAATATTCAAGTGTAATGTCAATCGACATTTTCTTATACCGTGATCTTGTTCCCCGTCCTTCTCTTTATCCTTTCCCCAAACACACCTCTTTACTCTTGTTCTATACTCTCTGTAACCCTGCCTTGCTTGGGATGAAATACGTAATAATAATAATAATAATAATAATAATAAAAAAAAAAAAAAAAAATTTGCCTTATTTTTATTGCTTTGCCTTATTACATATACGGTTTGCTCAATATTATGTTTTGCCCTTTTTTTTCACTTTTCTTTCTCTTGTTATTGTTTATTGCAAATTTCTATCAATACTGTTTGTTGGGTATTTCTGCCAATTACATTTAACCATGGCCAATTACTGTACAGGGTACTCCATACTTTTGTACCACAACTAAGTATACTTAGTAAACCGCTATAATTACTTCTAAGCCCCTTATCAAAAACAAAGCGTCTCTCCGAGTAGGACTGATATCGAAAATAAATTCAAAACCCTAATTCCAGACAGATAAGGGCTGAAGACGGCTTGAAAAAGACTATACCCATGTGAGGTAATTTTGTTTTTTTTTTGATGTATATATATATATATATATATATATATATATATATATATATATGAGCTTTGTCATAGCAGATACATTGAACTCTCTGTGGATGTTTTAATATTTGTTATTACTAGGATCCCCTGGGATTATATACCAACGGATATATTACCTGTACTATATATATAAGTTTCACGCCCTTTGCGATCGGCTCACAAGCTCACATAAACGCAAATACAGACACACACACACACACACACATATATATATATATATATATATATATATATATATATATATTAAAATTAATTGATTTAAAATATGTTTTTTTCCGCTAAATCAATTAATTTATAATATTAATGCTCTGTAAATTTACATTGAGCACTATTTTGTAAAAATAAAAATATCAAAAAGAACACCGGATTATATATCTTACTGTTCTTTCTTTTATATATATATATATATATATATATATATATATATATATATATATATCAATTAAACGCATGTTGTTTGTGTGTGCGTGTGTGTAACGAATGCATGGCCGCAATTTTCGACGGATTTGCACCAAAATGTACATGCATATGCTCCAAGTTAGCAGAAAGGCCAAGACCAATGTTCCATTTCCCAACTCACATTGATAGTGGAAATAATCGATTTTTTCATGCTTCTACGGCAGTTTTCATGTAGTTTGTGGCCATTTTCTACTGGCCAGAGTGAGAGCATTTAGCTGGCTGCCACGAATAGGCAGGAAGATTCTATTGGCCAGCGTGAGAGCCAACAGCTGACTGACACGAATGTTAACTAGAATGTTAGCATGCAAAAAAAAAAAAAAATAAAATCGATAGCTGCATTCGTTACAAGTGGGAAAAATTTAAATCTGCATGGCACTTTACTCCAATTGGCTCATTCGCTTGCTTAAACTCAACGTTGATTCTGGTTCTGCAGAACTGGGTTGGGTCTGAAAAAGTATTTGTTGTTAACATTCTTTTTTCATTCGTTTTTTCCAGTTGCGAGTCCTTTTTTAAAGCTGATCGTTTTGTGTTAATTTTGTTTAGTTCTTTTTTCGTAACAGATTTAATGTTTAGTATAGAGCTTCGAAAAAATTCGCAGTGTGAGGTAGGCAAGAAGTAAGGCATGTAGCAACATCAGCATGGCAAAGGGCACTCCTTTCAAGGCCAGGAAGATCAAAAATATTTTAAGTCAAGTGATAGCGATTGCTGTATGAGTCGTACGATTTTTGAATCAAGCAAGGGCAACGCCGAGCCATGCTGCTAGTATGTATATATATATATATATATGAATGTAATGTGAACGAAAATAATATAAATTCTAACGT